CTATGATGTCTCCAAAAGAGGATTATACGTTGATGAGTTACACACTTAGAAAATACACATCAGCTGCCTGGTTCAGTGTGCAAATGAACAATACACACAGCAGGCCTGAAAACACACCCTCACTCAGAAGTGCCCCCCGTCTTCTTTACAAACCTGTTCATATTTGTGCCATGTTATTAATGCAAAGCAGCTAACAAAGCTGATTCCAAAAGTGTTTTAGTTCACCCAGAGCTACAACACATAAGACACACCATAACTACTGGGTTAGGACCACAACAATGGGCAGGCATATTCCAGCCACAGTACATGCAGTGGTTTAAGTTAACACCCCCTACTGTCCTCCAAAACCACACCATCTTACCTAGACCAGCTGACATTCGTGCCTGCTCAGGCAAGGACTTCTCTGCCTAAAGATCATTTTATTTTACAGCGAATCTTCCCTAAACATTGACAGAGCATCCACAAATGGGCATTGATTCATTCAGTCAGTCAAAAACATTTATTGAGCACCTACTGTGTGCCAGGCACTATTCTAGGTACTAGGGATACAATTGTGAGATTAAGAAACCAAGTCCCTGCTCTCTGACCTTCTGCTGGAGGAGACAGGTGAAAAATAAGATAAATAAGTAAAACATCTAGTTTGTCAGAAAGTGGTAAGTGCAAGGAAAAAAACCCTAAATTGAGGAGGAGGACAGAAAGTGCAGGGAGAGTGTTGAAATTGTGGAAAAGGGGCCAAGCAAGGAACAGTGGAGTAAAGTGTTGAAGATGAGGAAAAGGATCAAGCAGATATTGGGGAGAAAATCACACCAAACAGCGGGGACTACAGGTGATGAGATGAAAACTTGCCTCAAATATTCAAGGGACAGCGAGGAGCTTGGTGGGCAATGAAGGTGGGATGTGATGGGGCAGCTTGTGCAGGTCCTTGTGGCCCATGGTGAGAACTTTCACGTCTACACTGAGGCAGGAATCATGGGAGCGATGTGAACTGGAAAGTGATTTGATCTTCTTTATGTGTTAAAAAGATCCTTCTGGTTGCTTGTGTTGATAACAGGCTGTGGGAGGAGAAGGGCAGAAGGAGAGACACCCAGGTGGAGGCTGCCCCAACAGTCCAGATGGGAGATGATGATGGTTTAGACAGGCGGTGGCAGTGGAGGTGGGAGAAATGGTGAGATCCTGTATACATGTTAAAGACAAAGCCCATAGGATTTGCGGAAAAATTATCTGTGGAGTTAGTGACAGAGGGAGGGGAAGACAAAGTTTTTGACCTGAGCTCCTGGAAGGACAGAGCTGCCATCACTGATACAGAATGACAGGAAGGGACAGTATTAGAGGGATGCTCAGGGTTTGGTTTTGGACATCTCGAGTGAGAGATGCCTGAGAACCCCCAACCCCAAGTGAGGACATCAACAAAAGTCCAGACTAGTGACATAAGTTTGGGATACATCAGTACAGAGGGGTGTTTAAAGCCTCAAGATTGGATGAGACCACCAATGGGCTGAGTACAACCAGAGAAGTCAGGAAGAGAGGGGCTTTCACATTCCTAGGCCCACCCACCCCCAAATCTCAACTTTAGCACTCTACTGCACAAGCCCACTGAAGGTGAGAGCCTTTTGTCTCTGGGGCTGGGTCAGGTCCTTCCCAGAGAGAGAGGACATTGTCAAGCTTCCATGACGTGTCACAGCATGGCATCTCCAAGTCCTGCACCATCTCCCTGCATAAAGCAAAGCAGAGTCTCTAGCTTGGCAGCCTCTCCCTCAGCCTGAGGCACCCACTTGCTTCCCATTCCGCCGAGATTTCCTCTGCCCGCCAGGCAGCTGCCTCCCTGCCCTGGTGAGAGGAGAGGAATTATAAGCCCTGCAAACTGTAGAGGCAGTGGCCAGATGCCCCTGGGGAGGCAGGCTGGCATTTGTCATAGCAATTCAAAAGGACAAGACCTCGATCAGCCCCCAAACCTGCGGAGAGATGGATGGCAAGGTCTTCTCCAGCCCCACAGGGAACATGACCAAGAAGCTCAGTACAGAACAAGGTCACCTGGCCATCTGGCCTTCATTCAGTCCCTCCCCACCCCAGTGGGGGGCGGAGGGAGGGAAGAGGATACTTTAGCACAGTAAGATGTGCTGAGCGCTGTCCAGGTGCTGAAACCTCCCATCCACTAGGCATCCAACTTTTGCTCCCAAAGCAGACCCTGAGACAAGGGCTTGGATGCAGGTAGCTAATTTCGGGGGTAATCTGAGGAATTATAAGTGAAGAACTGGGAAGAGAGGGATTGGTAGAGGGTGCACGAATGAATGGATTTCATCGTGGGCAACTGGGATTCAGTTCTGCTTTGGAGTCTCTGGGATGCTGTATAACATACCTCCAAGTTTTCTCACTGAGCAATGAGGAAGCCAGGGTATTTACACACTGATTCCCTAGCTCACTGGTTGAGGAATGCTGCTGGGGGTGTTAAGCTCTGTCACGTGGGCTGAGCAAACTCCCCAATGCCGAGAAGGCTCTCCAGCAGAGACAAAGAGATATGGGAGTGTTGGAGGTTCCAAGAGGTTAGCTGGCATGGAAACTGCCTGCTGAAGTTGCAAGTAAACTCAGAGGTGAGCTAGATGAATAAAGGGTGGGGAATCTGCAGCATCTACCACATGTCCCCAAAAGAATTTGTTTTATTTTATTTTTTCCCTTCAGTTCACCAACTCTGACTTGTGAAGCACTCAGATAGATCCAGGGCTCAGTTCACAGTATCTGCCACCTACACTGCATTCTCCAACCCCCACCACAGTCCTAGGAGGTGGACACTGTGATTAACCCTCTTTTCCAGGTAAGAAAACTAAGGTTCAGAGAAATCAACTCACATTCTCAATGTCATAGCTGGCAAAGCTTCCTATGACTCTACAGCCCAGGTCTTAACCACTGGGCTATACCAATCTCCCATTTCTGGCAAACTCTTTTGCTCAGTTTTCTTCCCCTGTGGAACCCAAGGTGGGAGAAGAAAAAGAATGATCCCCCTGACTTTCCATACCAGAGAACTCTACTCAAACTCTCAAATGTGTTTCCCTGGTGTACTTTACTTTAGGAAAATAGCATAGGACTCAAAAAAGTAAATGTGTATCCAGGTCTGCCTGAGTTCAGATCCTGGATCCACCACTTATGAGGTGGGTGACTTTGGGCAAGTTACTTAACCTCTTTGAGCCTCAGTTTACTCATCTGTAAGATGGGAGACAATGATGGTTCTCAACTTAGAGCGTTGTAAGGAGTAACTGAGCACATATACATGCACATCGTATATCATGTTCAAGCACTTCATAAGTTCCAGTTTATCAGTGTTGCCAGTGTTGTTAATAACAGATATTATGTTCATAAGGATACTGGGCTGAATATTCCCCTTTGTCTGAACTTACCTTGGGCCCTGTGTTATCCTAGTTTTAGGGCAGTGCCCTAGCAGAGTAATTGAGATCCTAATGCACCCCTTATTGACTGTGGGACCCCCTGGCAAGTAGCATAACCTCTCTGAGATTCAGATTTATCTGTAAAAAAGCTTTTGAGGCTGAAATGTGATAATGTACATAAAACTGTTAATGTAGTGCCTGATACATAGCAAGTGCTCAATAAATGGTGAGAATGACAAACATGTTGGCTACTATTATTATTGTCACTGTCACTGTTAGTGTTATCAGAAGATGGGAGAAACTAGCTCCTGCTACTAGGAAGTGAGGTGAATGAAACATGGCTCAGCAAATATCATGACAACCAAATGCTCTGAACAACAAAAAGATCGATGCCCTCTCAGTGACACATCTCTCGTTGAGAACGATAAAAAGCATTTGTGTCACAGCAGGGGATCCTTTTGGTATCAAGGATGACTGATCCACTGGGGGAGAAATTACTGCAGAGAGACATTAAAATAAAACGCAGCTGGCATTTATAGGAGCTGTCAGCTGGTCCCGTGAGTTAGAATGCTGGTTGTGTTTTGTTGTTGTTTTTGGAATGCTGTTTTTATGTGCAGGCAGCTTAGAGCAGCTGCATGGGAGGTGAGGGAAGGAAGATAACGTGAGGAATGATTACATGTGTTTGTTCAATTAATCGAAAAGGAGAGACAGCATGAGAGCTGTGTGACTCTGGTCAAGTCATTTGACCCCTCTGGGCTTGAGGGGTATTGAAATTGCTTTCTGAGGCTCCCCAT